TTCTGTGATTCTGTGATTCTGTGATATTATGCTCACCATTAAGATACGTAAGGTCATCCACTCATAGTCTCTCAACCCTTTATTACTTGACATGGTGATAGTTTTAACTCTGTCTCACTGTTCCTGGATATACTTCACAACTAAAAGATCATTCTTCCTAAAGGAAATCCCTATTCATTGATACAGAAAATTTTTACATATTTTTTCTGGGTATGTTGAACTTCAACTCCATTTCAGATACAAAATTTTAGATCCAGAATGTATTTAATCTTGGGGTAGAAATATATGTACACATCATGCTTTTATCCAGCTAGAAGGGCTGGAAATGGTTGGAGTCACATCAATTTTATGATCTAAATAGGCCTCAGTGAGATAAATTGCAGCACACAATTAAAAAAAATCCAACAAGGTTGAAAACACCTTGAATTTTGAAAATGTGTTTGAAAAACAGTTGCCCATTCATGTCTTCATGTCATTAAACTTCATTCAACTATAAAGACCTAAATCACTTTATGGATATTAAAGACTCAAGCACTCAGGTGTCTTCAGTGACTCAACATTGCTGGGTGCTGCTTCATAGACTTTTAAGTGTTCTTTAAGTGCTTTTACCATCTTAAGGTAGCTTAGGTGCTTAAGTGATTGTACCATGTTAAAACTCCGAAGAGGCTTACGTGGGATTTTGAGACCTTTAAGGTAAGCAGCTGTAACTTTCAACTCTGCTCTTAAAAAGAAAGGATATATTCTTTGATGAACAATTGTAAACAAGTCAGGATATGCAAATATGTATGTTTTTGCACAAAGGGGTGGTTTTTTTTTTGTTTTCCATCTCCAGCTCTCTTTCTATACATAGTGGTTAAATCCCAAGAAATAGCTTTCTTGACTTAACAACAAATCAGGGCAACGACATTCAGTTTTTCTCTATGCCTCCTTCATCTCTTCTCTACCTTTAGCATTTCATCTGACAAAATGACAATTTTTACCCTGAGAAGAGAGACCTAGCCATTGCTTTTGTGTAGTCATAACCCCACTGCATCACTGAGGTAAGGCTGATCCAGGTATCTTCCTCTTCCTTTTCAGATGCCACTACAGTAATTTAGCCTTCTCACTGATGGCACATGTGTTAGCTGACCATGGAGCTGAGGGGCAATACCAGCGCTGGATCTCAGAGAACATTCTGGACCGCTTGGGCATGGAGGACACTGGCTTCGACATCACGCCACCAATCCGTTCTCAGATGGCTGTGGGTTTCTATGGGAGCCAGCAGCCAGCCCCTCTCTATGATCTTGGCTGGTACAGGCCTTCTGGCCAGATGTACTCCACAGCTGCCGACCTTGCCAAACTAGCAATGGTCTTCTTAGGCACCTACCACCGTCGCCTCCTAGAGCCTGACACGGTGAAGACAATGCTGACTCCTCTGTTTAAGTGCTCCACTGAATACTTTGCTAACAAGACCGGCACACCCTGGGAGATTAATGAGCAATTAGGATATGATGTGATTAGGAAGGATGGAGACCTCGATGGCTATTCAGCTACCTTCTCCCTTATCCCCAAGCTCCGTCTGAGCTTCATTGTGCTGATGGCAGGGCCCAGGCCTCAGGGTGGAGATATTGTGACTCAGACATACGAGTATCTTATTCCTGCCATGGAGACGGCATTCAGAGAGGCAGAGAAAAGCTTGATTCCTCCTCCAAGTCCAGGTCCTTATGTTGGCTACTATACCTATTCCAACCTGACTTTCTACGAGATCAAAGTTGGACCTGGTGGGGTACTGGTCATGCAGCAGTTTGGGCCTCACGTGGAAGAGCTGATTCCTGAAAAGTACCGGACAATCAAGCTCCACCACCTGGAAGATCGTGTTTTCCAAGTTGTTTTTGACAAGGAGTTCCCATGTGTTCTGCACCTGGGCTCTGCTTCCATCTCACTTGAGACCCAAAATGGGCAGCTCTTTAACTTTTATCCATTCGATCGCAAGGGTTTATCTCCTGGCTTTGATGCACCAGGGCTGAACACATACAACGTGGTGCGTGTACTTCGTAAACCTGTATTCTATAGCTAAATGTCCCCTCTACTTTTCTGACCACTTCTGGGGGGTGGCTCCAAATCTGTGTCTTACCAGACTCTACTGTCTATGTGGCTTTGTGGATGCCAATTAAAAGGGAAAGACAGTGGCAAATTACTCTTTTGCCCAACAAATACATTATGTCCCACTTCTAAAATTCTTCAACGGCCTGTGGTCCCTGACAGCGCACAACAGGCCAGCTAGCAACTGGGGATGCCTGTCGAAAAAAGAAGTGGGAATGCACTGGACTGATGGTGTTTGGATGCCATAAAAAAAGCACAGCACTTAAGTCTCCACACTTACGTTGTCTGTTTGATTACAGTTCTGGTTTTGACTGGCATCATCAAAGGGCTGAGAACTTCCTACGTCTCTCAGAAAACATTTCTTCTTCCATCTAAGGGTTTTTCCAGACCTCTTCAGGAGCCCACCTGCCATGAACAAGATTCCTTATCTGGGTTTGCCAAAAACATTACATGCTAGAAAAAGGGACCAACCTGATACCAGCTCTTGCTTGTGATACCTGGCAAGTGAGGCTTCATTTCTTTCCTGGATCACAACAAGGAAAATGTGAAAAAAGCAAACAGAATGTGGTTATGTCTTGGCTTCATGGATTTCTGCAAAAGTGGTGGTCACACAAAGAATATTGTAGCACTTGAGTGTAGAAGCTGAAGCTTACTCCTGTGAGCTGGGCCATATAAACATATACTGGTATATTCCAGATGGACTCAAGCTTGTGACTCATTATATAGGCAAAGATGTGTGTGTGACATTTAAGTACAGAAATGCATGGGAATCTGTATGTGTGTTTTGGGCAGGGTGTCTGTATGGATATGTACCCATTGTATTTATGCAGGTATAAGGGAGGATGCTATGGGAAAGTACATTAGCCCAGGGAGCACTACATTTAGGCCACAGGTGCATTTTCTTCTCCCTTCTTGTGCCCACTGAACGCCAAGGCAGGCAGAACAGATGATGTGTCATTAATGGCCAACACCATATCACTGTGATGGCAACAGCATTAGGCATGAGTGCAAGACAGGGCAAGTACCACCATGTGTACCCCATGTGTGTACAGCAATGATTGTACAGCAGGGAAATCCTGAAGGAAGTGCTAAAGGGTAGGCATGCTAACACAGTCAAATACTCTTCAAAGGACAGGTTCTCCCATACCATAACTGCTATGAGGTTGGATACTCTTGCAAAGTGACCTTCTGCTGCTGCTCATCCAGACAGAATCTTGAAAGTGAACATGTCCCTAATCCCAAATCTTGCACCTGGGTAGGGGCAATCCTCACTATCATCACAGATTGGGGGATGATGTGATAGAGAGCAGCCCTGCAGAAAAGGACTTGGGGGTACTCATAGACGAAAAGCTGGACATGAGTCAACAAAATGTGCTTGCAGCCCCAAAGGCCAATCGTATCTTGGGCTGCATCAAAAGCAGCGTGGTCAGCAGGTCAAGAGAGGTGATTCTGCCCTTCTGCTCTGCTCTGGTGAGACCCCACCTGCAGTGCTGTGTCCTGCACTGGAGCCCTCAGTACAAGAAGGCCATAGAGGTGTTGGAGCAGGTCCAGAGGAGGCCACAAAAATGATCTGGGAGCTGGAGCACTTCTGCTATGAGGACTGGCTGAGACCATTGGGATTGTTCAGCCTGGAGAAAAGAAGGCTGCGGGGAGACCTTATAGTGACCTTTCAGTACCTGAAGGGAGCTTACAAGAAAGCTGGGGAGGGACTGTTTACAAAGGCATGGAGTGATAGGACAAAGGGCAATGGTTTTAAACTAGAGCAGGGTAGATTTAGATTAGACATTAGGAAGAAGTTCTTCACCATGAGGATGGTGAAACACTGGAACAGGTTGCCCAGTGAGGTGGTAAACGCCTCATCCCTGGAGACATTTAAGGCCAGGCTTGATGGGGCTCTGAGCCACCTGATCTGGTTGAAGATGTCCCTGCTTACTGCAGGGAAGTTGGACTGGATGACCTCTAAAGGTCCCCTCTAACCCACCACATTCAGTGATTCTATGATTCTAAACTCTTGTTGTTTCTCATTGTTTTCACTCTCTGTGCAGTTCTTCAGCTTCAGTTTTACTCAAAACTACTCAGAGAGACCATCACTGAAGGTCTAGAAATCTATGATTCGCAAACTCGGCTCCTTGCCTTTTTTTCAGACGATTTCACTTCCCTGATAAACATATGAAGTAATGTATATCTTGCCTTACAGGCAGTTGTGGTTGCTGCTGTATTGGTTTCCTCTGGACTTTGTAGGTGATTACATTACATACCTTGTACAACCTTGTATGTTCAAGTATTTAACCTGGACTATAGCAACAGCAATAAACTCTATACAAATTCTTGCTGCTGTCATGTGTGATCATGCCCAGAGTATGTGTGCAGACAGATACATTGCACTATGTTTGATTTTCTGTAGAGGTGCCTACACTTTGTCATGGCATGCCTGACACAACAATGCTTTCCGGTCTTTGAGCTCACAAGATGCAATGTCTGGTTGCAAGATATTTGAGCAGTCTAACTCTGGACTTTTTTAGTTAGGGCTAAGTGCCAGTTTGGGCTGATTTTCTTGCTTGGGAACAGAAGAAGTAATTGTTTACCCATCAGTTACCTTTAAAAGCTTCCAAGAAAAATTAGGATTTATATCCCATGTCACTCACTGGTCAAGATGAAACACCACACTGGACTGTCTACATCTCTCTGGTGGAGAGGTTAAGATATTTCACTTTTCCATCAGTAATGCAGACACTAACAAGTCTTTCTTTTTCTAGTGAGTCACCCTCAAACCTGTACACTGATACTTTTCAGTGCTTTTGTTCATTCCCATAACAGCGAAGTGCAGCTCTTTGCTATTCATAGCGTGAGCCCACACCTGCAGTAAAGCTCATCTCACCAAACCTGGATCACACTGGGAAGGTGAACAAAAGCTTTCTGATTTGTATGGGCAGGAGACCACTCTTACCTGGTATGGAGAGCAGAAGGAAGACCTTGGCACACCTGTACGTAGGATCTGGGAGAGGCTGTGTGTGGCGAGCAGGATAAGGTGAAATTTTGGAGGACCCCAGCGAGGCACAGAGAGCAGTCAGACTTACAATGCTGAATCAATGCTACGAACACAAATGTTGAATTTCTTCCTGCCACTTCATGCATAACAGTATCCTAAGAAAAGCAGAGCCAGCTTTTGTGCCATGATGTGACCTAACTCACGTTAGCAGGTGTTTTATACCAGCTTTAACAGTTTTTCATAAACTTTCAATTTTAATATAGCATCTAAGTTATGATTCTGAGTAAGCTTTGAAGTATGTTTGTTGCTGAATTAAAAAATACCTCAATGTTATTTCATCCATGTCAGAGATTGACTCTGACAATAGATGCAACAAATGTAAAAATCTGCCCAGCTGCTCACTTTTCACAGAAGCGTGTGTTTTAAAAGGCAACTAGAAGTGTCTGCGGCATCCTATTAAAGCAATGTGCTTAAAAATGTTTTTATAATTACTCATCAGGGAATATGCTCCATTAGCATTCCCAGCATCAAAAAGAGGCAAGAACAAAACTTACTCATTGGTTCAGAAGACCAAATTCTATATCAAGGAGCATTGATGAAACCACACAATATTGTAGAACTGTATTTAGTCTACAAGATAAAACCCTCTGGGTCATCAAGAATGAGATTCGCCTGTCAAAATAAAAACAGCTACATCTGAGCTAGCACCTTTAAACTTCTTTCTACTCAGTGAGATTTAATGACTCTAGTGAGTAGAGTGGATTCATCTCACTTAAAGCACACATTCAGAATAAGCTGATGAATCACACTCTATGAATCCCCAGCCTACAGTTGGTTGAGATGGACCCAACCCTTGCTATCACAAGCAACTCTTGAGTTAAAAGTGAAATACTTTCATAATCTGTCTGCCAGATAAGGGCAAGTTCTCAACTTGTGGCATCAACGTTGCTCTGAAGACCTGAAGTTCACTGGATAGCAGGCCAAAAGCAGAACATGGTGATGTTTTTTGTGGTCTCATGCTAACATAGTCTTAGTTAAGACAACTTTTTCCCTTTTAGAAGAACTCCATCTTCAGGAATAGTAGCTCAACTGAGGATGGTATCAAGCTTCAACCTTCAACCTATGTTTTGAAAACAGCAGTTTATCCCTATGTGCTTCATTTTGTCACAGAATCACAGAATCACAGAACG